AGAGGAGACACCCATGTGACCCTCGCTGTCCTCTGTCGGCGACTTGTTGCCCTTCTCGTCCTTTCCACTGACCGACCGACACCTTTCAGTCCACGGGTCTCCTCTGCCCGCGGTTTCCGGGTGCTAGCCGGTGGACGCTGACCGGCACTTTTTTAGGAGGAGTTTTGTATTATTACCAAGTTACCCTTTCTGTACCCCTTTCCAGGTGTGCGCGCGCGCGTTCGTCTCGACTCTCGATGATAAAGTAACTGCCAGTCTAAAGTCTAATAATACAGTTCGTAACGCTCCGTAATAATTTTTTTTTTCATTAGAGTCGAAATAATAATATCCTAAAGTTCGAATGTTTAACCGCACGCCTTGCCATGACTTAGCAAAAGTTAAAATTTTAAAACTTTGGGGTCAATTTTTTTTGCAACGAAAAAACTTTTAGATATCGAAGTTAAGACCGTTTTCAAACTTTGGGTTTATAATTTCTCATAATCATTCCTATATTAATTTGGCCCTTTGAATCATATTTCGTAATTCATCGCTATGTGTTTTTAAGGTATGTTTTAAATAATCTTTTTCATTCGCTCACATATTTGAGAAATTATTTGTAAAAAGCAATTACTCTTATTCAATATTTGAGAAAATAATTTTTAAAATATGTGATGGTTTTAAATAGTTTTTCATGTATTCAAGCATTTTTCTAAATTTTCTTGAACATTGTCGTGGAAATCAAATACGAATTATAATTATGTTTTTGCTGGTGAGGTTATGTACAACATCCTATAGTCATACGAAAAGTTGCAACTACATACATTCAAAAAAATTAAAATTAAGGGTGGGACTCATGGTCAGTAGCTCTCCATGGGGAAGTGTATCTCTCCAGGCTATTGCCCGTTGTTGGTCAGGAGTTCGAATCCTCGTAGCCGCATTCACCTGTTTTCCCTTGGTTTAAGGGTGGGGACGGAAACCCGGGGTTTTATTGGTCACCAAATCCAGCTCAGCCCGTTGTATGCTCATCAGTTCGCGTCCCGGTGGTCCCCACGCTGCTCGCCCGCGCTCTGCCCGTAGGGATGAGCCCCTGGTATTAAGGGTAGCTCCTTGTAGATGTGAAGGGAACAAAGGGCTCCGAAGGAGTTAAACTGAGCTGGGGTGACCAAGTTTCCCTTGTCATAAAAAAAATTAAAATTAAAATTCCAAAGGACTAAATAATTTCTCTATATCTTTTGCTGGGATGACCCTTTTTCGAGGTGGACCTATATGATCAATACGTAATACAAATCTAATTAAATATATTTTATTCCTAAGATTCAACATTTGAAGATAACCAAATCATAAAAAGGATCTCCATAATCCATTTCAATTGTTCAAAAAAATTAATTAATTTAAATAAAAAATACTGCTCTCATATTTGACATTTGACATCAAGGGGGTGTTTGGTTACATTTCTATAAATTGTAGGAAATGTTTTCCATCAAAAATTTGATTTCCTTGTATTTCTTAAAAAAATTATAGGAAAAGTTTTAGGAAGTCAAAAAGTACAAATTTTCTTGTTTTTTGAAGTTTGCTTGTTTGGTTCAAAACAAGAAAATGTGCTACACACTTTATAGAAATAGCAACTTTTCTTTTTCTTTTGTTTGGTTACATATGTCAAATTTATAGAAAATTGTTAACTACCATATTTATTATTTTAATAATGGCTAGTTTAATGGCTATTTCCTAACAATATAGAGCTAAACAAGCTTGATTGAGCCATGAAACCAAAATAATAGCCAAAACAACCCGACAACAAGCAAAAATATCAATCACATAGCCAACAATAGAGAGCTAAACAAGCTCGAATCAGCATAATAACCACAAAACAGCATCCATCGTTCGACAACAAGCCCAATGACTACCATATATCCAACAATAGAGAGCTAAACTAGCTCGAATCTGTATATTAACTAAAAAAAAGCTTTAGGAGCTCGACTACAAGCCCAAGTACTCACCAAATTCCCAACAATAAAGAGCTAAACAAGCTCGAATCAGCATAACAACAAAAAAACAGCCTTCATATCTCGACAACAAGCCCAAATGAGCACAAAATACCCGAGAATAGAGAGCTAAACAAGCTCGAATCAGCATACCAACTGAAAAAGTAGCCTCCAAAACTCGACAACAAGCCCAAATTGTTAGATCTACATCATAAAACTTGAGATCTAAAACCATATAGCCATGATTAATTCAAAGAGATTAACAAAATCAAAAGAGAGCGGAAGCTTATACCTGAATCCATTGCTTGATCTTGATTTTGGGTGTTGGATCTTCTAACCTTAGGGTTCTCTCTAAAACCGAATTTCTCTAGCTAGATGGGGGTGTAGAGAATTAGAGAATGTAACCCTAGGTTAGGGACCATAACCCCTTATTTATAGATGTTGTACTTTTGTAATTTAGCCCCTTCAATAAATTACAATTACAACCTGGTATCTGCACATATGACCCCATGACTTATTTAAATACAAAATTAACCCAACTTAATTGATCACTTTAATGGGTTATCCTGAAAGATAGCAATACACATTGATTAATCATATGTGCCCACAAATAGATTTATTAGATTAAATCCAACATTATTAACCTAGGTGACAATATTTTTGCTCAAATTTCCGAACAATCTCGTCCATTGACTATATCAATATAGGATCAAAGCGGCCTTCGTCACATTTATCGTGACTCGACCCATCAATGGTCACATATACCAATACAATCAAATGACATAGATCAATCATGGATGTGCAGTATGAAAATTACATGCAATGTGATCAGTACATGTCTATTTTCAACTGGTCCTCCTTAGTGAGGTCAAAACCAAACATAATGTAACAGAGTGTCTTAACTGAAAACTTTATTCTGATCAGACAATACAAACAAACATAAAGCACCACAAATACAAACTCCCACTAAAACATAATATCCTCAAATAATACCACACCCATATGAGCAGTATGCTCCTGAAAGACCTTAGGTGGTAATCCCTTAGTAAGAGGATCAGCTAACATGGAGTTTGTCCCAATGTGCTCTATGGATATCTGTCCACTCTGTACCCTTTCTTTCACAACCAGGAACTTAATGTCAATATGTTTTGACTTAGTTGAGCTCCTGTTGTTATTGGAAACGCGAGGTTCGTCTGAAGTACGAACGCGAGGTTCGTCTGAAGTACGAACGCGAGGTTCGTCTGAAGTACGAACGCGAGGTTCGTCTGAAGTACGAACGCGAGGTTCGTCTGAAGTACGAACGCGAGGTTCGTCTGAAGTACGAACGCGAGGTTCGTCTGAAGTACGAACGCGAGGTTCGTCTGAAGTACGAACGCGAGGTTCGTCTGAAGTACGAACGCGAGGTTCGTCTGAAGTACGAACGCGAGGTTCGTCTGAAGTACGAACGCGAGGTTCGTCTGAAGTACGAACGCGAGGTTCGTCTGAAGTACGAACGCGAGGTTCGTCTGAAGTACGAACGCGAGGTTCGTCTGAAGTACGAACGCGAGGTTCGTCTGAAGTACGAACGCGAGGTTCGTCTGAAGTACGAACGCGAGGTTCGTCTGAAGTACGAACGCGAGGTTCGTCTGAAGTACGAACGCGAGGTTCGTCTGAAGTACGAACGCGAGGTTCGTCTGAAGTACGAACGCGAGGTTCGTCTGAAGTACGAACGCGAGGTTCGTCTGAAGTACGAACGCGAGGTTCGTCTGAAGTACGAACGCGAGGTTCGTCTGAAGTACGAACGCGAGGTTCGTCTGAAGTACGAACGCGAGGTTCGTCTGAAGTACGAACGCGAGGTTCGTCTGAAGTACGAACGCGAGGTTCGTCTGAAGTACGAACGCGAGGTTCGTCTGAAGTACGAACGCGAGGTTCGTCTGAAGTACGAACGCGAGGTTCGTCTGAAGTACGAACGCGAGGTTCGTCTGAAGTACGAACGCGAGGTTCGTCTGAAGTACGAACGCGAGGTTCGTCTGAAGTACGAACGCGAGGTTCGTCTGAAGTACGAACGCGAGGTTCGTCTGAAGTACGAACGCGAGGTTCGTCTGAAGTACGAACGCGAGGTTCGTCTGAAGTACGAACGCGAGGTTCGTCTGAAGTACGAACGCGAGGTTCGTCTGAAGTACGAACGCGAGGTTCGTCTGAAGTACGAACGCGAGGTTCGTCTGAAGTACGAACGCGAGGTTCGTCTGA